ATCTTTTTCGAGATAAAGATCTAAGCCCTCAGAAAAATTAGAAAAATCTCGAGCCGTCAAATTGCATATTGCTGTTCCTGCAGAATGGGGCGATTCACCTTAGTGACCACCACCATATCTACTGATCAGGTAGCACCACCCTCCCTCCTTTTATGATGTTAGGGTCTGAGACTATGATTATTATGGCTACCACAAATGTATTGCTTGGTACCAGACACGTTCGTACCTCATATTCCATCTCCCTAGTCTTCTTAATGAGTGCTTCCAATAGGTCTCCACGTACATCTTTATGAACATATTATATGTGTGTGCATGCGTCCTAATGAACAGATTACTTCATAAGAAGTTAAAACTTTAAAGAGTAAAAGGAATAATTTTTGTGAGTGGTGGAGCAAGATTCAGTAGAACACTATATTTAGGGCTCAATGTAGGTAGTAAGAACTGAAGGTAAGGTTGGTTGGCAGGACTTAGTGTACTAAATTATCATGACAGTCTCATATAAAGTAAACATCTGACATTGCAAAGTAACCTGTCTACACATATTATAAAAAGATATTAACACTGAACCAACGAAATCTTAGCATGTGGTCAGTAATATTGCAGTCTGTGTATACTGAAGAAGGGTAGTTAGTCTTACAGGGAGCCATAAAGTAAATCAATGTTATAATTCGTATTATCAAAGAATACATTAGGCTCAATAACTGAGTGTTATAATGGGAACAAGCGTGGTAAACCAAGAGAACATTTGTTGCATAAATATTTTGTTGACGAAATTCTGTGGACTCTACTTCAAACTGTATCTACAAGTTCACCTGCAGCTGCGGTGACACCTATATAGGTAGAACTAACAGAATGTTCCAATGTCGTCGAAAAGAACATATTCCAAAATGGCTAGTTAATCATATCGAAAATCCTAACGCGATTAATCTCAATAGAAATCCAGCACCATCCATTGCAAAACACTTATTAATGTCTGATCATAAAATAAATATTAATGACTGTTTCACAATTATTTCACATAACTCTAATTCGAGGTTATTGAAGGTGATGGAAGCACTTTGGATTAATCGCATACAGCCTAAACTGTGTCTACAAAAATCAATAGACTTCAATCTTCGCCTACCCTGGACTGCATGACCTATCTTAATATGATTGGTCATTAGTATGTACTTTTGTTTTTATTTAACTGAGTAATTTTCATGAACTTTATTTTATCATTGTTAACCATGTTAGTTGTAAAGCGGTTGTAACGAAACTACGAAATGATGCCATCATCTAGCGAAATTTGTCTTCTTAATGCCTTGTTCATAAATATTTTAATCATTTTAAGTATTTTAATGACAATCTAATTTCAAGGATTGAACATGCATAATTACTAAGTATTATTATGTTAGTCCAGGAACTAGTGTACTTTCTGTAGTTAAATATTGAAATGTCATTGTTTCACCGCTCTACCAGCAGTCGAGATTTTTTTGACGGGCTAGGGTAGATATGTTGATATGTTTCTCTAGGCTCCTTTTGAAACTGTCAGGCCTTTCACAGGATCTAATCTCAGAGGGTAGTTGGTTCCAAAGTTTTCAATATTTAATGGTGAAGAAGTTAGCTCTAGTGGTGAGTTTATGAGTGTTAACCTTGAGAAGGTAGTCATGGTTGCGTAGTTCATACGATTTAGGATTAGCTCACGTTATGGATGGGTTACTGTTACAGCGCTTTTTTATAACTTTGAATAAGAGAAATAAATTGCACTTCACTCTCCTTAACCATAAGGGTTCTAAGTCCAGTCGAATACATCTGTCAAGGTATTCTATTTGCTGATCATAGATTAATATGCGTTTCGTGAGGAATCTTAAGCCACTTTCTACTTTTTTTCTGTCTGCTGATTTAAAGCTACTGTATAAGTGGGCACAGTATTCAAGTTTGGGGCGAATGCATATCTTATATATGGCTAATCTTGCTTCTGGAGTGTAAAAGTTGCGTAGTACAAAGCCGGTTAGACGTTTACAATCAGATACCACCTGTTTTGCATGTTCAGTAAGGGTAAGATCTGAGTATGTTACCCCGAGATCTGTGTTCATGTTTGAGACAAGGTCACCGTACATGTATAGGCACATTCTAGGTTTCCAACGTCCGAAGTATGTTATCCCAGACTTAGCTGGATTGAACGTTAACTGCCGCCTTTTACTCTAATTATATAGACTATTTAGGTCTTGTTGGATTTTACTAGCAATATTCATATCATTATAGTCGAAATCATAGGCAACTTTGAGGTCATCTGCAAAGAGGTACGGCTTGTCGTACTTGATCATAGAGACTATGTCATTTATGAATACAATGAATAGGGTAGGGCCAAGAACACTACCTTGTATCATGCCGCTGGTTATCGGTTTGGATGTAGATAAGTGATGGTTGACTTCAACTAACTTTTCTCTTCCTGTAAGAAAGGAAGTTATCCACTCGACTAGCCTTCCACTTATTTCATAAGATAGGAGCCTCAATATGAGTCTGTTGTGTGGGACCTTATCAAAAGCCTTCCTAACATCTGGAAATAATGTTGCTGCCGAGCGACTTTTGTCTACGCATTCACTAATGTGGTCGAACTATCTACTAACTCTTTAGCCCTGCCTAACAAATCTCGTTGTCAGGATCCTTTTAACATAACCTCAACTAGTAAAGGGATAATTTAATATCAACAACTGTCCAGGGACGTGTTTATCAACAATAATATAAAAAGAAAATAAGGATGTAAAATTTCATTACAACGTAGCAACCGCGTCCCTTGAAAATCGGAGAGTCTACAATGAGATTCAGTCAGCGTCGAGGAACAAATTGATTATTGAAGGCTAAAATTTCTTAGATCGTCTGCGGGACACCCACTTTGTGCAAAACTTTACTTCCAACCCCAGCAAAACAAATATGATTCGTTGCCTCAAGCCTCACGGATTTCGTTGTTTTTAAACTTATATTGGTAACCATCCAGCCTTATTTATGATCTCACCTATAACACTGAAGTTTTTTACATGATACCCGTCCATGTTCGATAGGCAAAATGAGTTTATAATGCCTAAGAAACCTTGAATGTGACAGGTTACTGGCAATAAGTGGATGCAACATAAGTTTTTAGCCAGTGATAATTTTATTAAGCGATACATTTAGGTTAACAGGAACTTGATAGTTTTAAAGTCACAGCTTCATTCGAATAACTGGTTTCATGTTAGCTACGATGTACTGATTAAAACTAGCCATTTAAATCCCTAATGTGATTATCGCAGTAGGGATTACGACACTGGTTTGAATATGAACGGAATACAACAAACAGAGTGATCACGGAATTTGTTTGGCGTCGATCAAATATTACCATATCGCCATTTAATATCTATTTTATTTTTTATTTTTGTTCACGCCTTGATACCACACTGTATTTTTTATACAAGTACGGAATTTTCAGCATGGATATCGGTAGCCCAAATTTTGGAGGCCGACCATAAATATCAGGTGTGAGTCGGCAGGGAACGAACCTCGGACCATGTGCATGGTCGACGAGAGTCCTAACCACTGTGTCACCATTCATCGCTGCTGAGAAGTTGGAGGGTTAGCAGAAAATACAGGGCTTTGAAGGCGTCTTTCTTCGGAAACAAAATTTCACCTAATATGCACATATACGCATCTATCTTTCCATTTTCAGAAAGGCTCGGCATCTACATGTGATCCATTTGATGCGAGCAGTTTTACTACAAATCGGAAAGCAGCGTAGTGTCGTTAGGTGATTCCGAACTCTGGACATGTAACACATATATCCTCATATTGCTGAGTTATGGCAGAGTAAGTTGTTTGCTCTATTAAGGTTACTACAAAGCAGAGCTTTGGCTCCTAGCACATCCTGTCTATTCTGACATTTATCTCAGAGGAATACATATCAATGTGCCTGAGGTGATTATGCTTCCAATGGGAATTCCGTTTGATTTCATTTCCTTATATTTTTAGTATATATAATACAAAGAATCATGACGCTCACGATAGGACGCCAGAATTCTGGATTCCACTTAGTACCAACTCAGTGTGATCTCAACTCATTCCTATATTGAATAATAGTGCAGTGAATACCGGTGGTCCAAATCACATACACCTAATGGATGACTAGTGTGCTTGGAGAATGTATGACAACAGTGGTTAGTGCAATGTTATACATTAGATAAGGAAGAGGTTGCACTGGGTCTATAGAACATGGAATTTCTTAGCCACTCAAAAGGAGATTAGTGACTAAATAAGCCAGTAGCACAGGACGAGTGATCAAGTAGGAACTACACCTTGTGTATGATTTGTTTTTTCTTCCACCTCGAGTGATGAATTCCGTTCCGTTTGTTTATAATAGATTCAATTGCTTGACTTGCTCACATGTACATTTACAAACTGCTAGTCCAACATCAACTGGTTGCTTTTTCTTAAAAACTTGTCATGCTTTCATTGTTTTAGTAAATATTTTGATTGAAGGTTTAGTTACTGAAGTACTACTCACTGTGAATTCCCCACTACGAAATATTGCTTGGAATGAGGCGTTTGTTAATGTCATAGAATAACGGTTGAGGCTATCTTAGGATTTAGTTTATTATTGCAATATGAACTATCCAGCTACTCTAATTCTACACGTGTCAGTCAACACAGAGAAAGGAGTAAAAGCGTGTAATATTGACATGATTTTAACAAAATGACACGTAAATTAAAACTCCCTTTATGCATTATTTACGTTTTAGTGGCTGAAATGGGCATTAAGATTTCTCCAAGGATGCTAGCTATCTGAAAAATTTACTGATATTCATGCTTCTCCTACACTTCCGCCTTCTTTTCTTTCCGTGAGGTGAGTACAATAAGGAAATACAGATATATTTTAGTGGGGTCTACGTACAATTTAGAAGGTACATTTGCCGTGAAGACAACTGTCACAAAGTCGGTCAGTTTAGATTGTCTCACCACGAATATTTGGTTTTATCAATGTACATTGGATTCTGGGGATGAGCGCAGTATGAATGTATCAAGGTCAACTACGTTTTGTTAACAGATGGATAGACGTAAGCACTTGACAAAGAACTCTAGGTATTTAACTTCAGTGTCTTTTCTTTACTGTTGCCTCTGTTCATTTGCTGATCTGAATTCAGTACTAATGATGCCAAACTAAATTTAAGTCACCAGTAAATTCCAACGGAGTGCGTCCGCATCAATGACCTTGAAACCCCCTGTGGGCAATTCAGTGAAATGCGCTTAATAATATTGTAATTGAGAATAAAGTATGCTTAATGACTTGCTTTTTATTAAATCGGATATACGGCTAGTTGTAGATTAGATCCTGGAAATATTAAGCTAAGGTTGAGGAGCGACATGAACTATAGCCGCTGAAAATGAAACTTCCTAATGACTGAATTGATGACACTTGCAGATTTATTTACAGAAATTGGTTCGATCTGACTATAAGGACTTCTCTGAGGAACTGCCAGGTTTTTTTCGAACATATACAAAACCATTATGCTATGTAACCACTTTGTAGTATAGGTAATTTTCTCATGTGTTGCAAGGATAGTCAGTAGAGGAATCACCATGCTTGACAGATGTATTCACGCAGTTAACTGTAGGTTATGGTACTTCCGGATCCACTGATGTTCCTGACAGTAATCTTACCCTTAACTCTAAATCCCATTTCTAATCTATATCACGAAATCGCTAGGTCTCTCTGACACTTGATTTACATAAAAAAGGTACCTAGAGAATAGGTAGAATATTGTATCAACCTTATCAGGTCCATAAGGGCAGAGGATTTCATTTGGAGCAACCTTTATTAGCATTCTCTCTACATCACCAACTCCTGAGGACGACTTTTTACAGACCTTGATTTAGATTACGTTAGTTCAGCTTCATCGGCCTTACTTAGTGTATTGGTCTTTTAAAAGTTTTGCGGTTAGATTTCAGTAACTGGAGTTCCTCATGCGGTGATGTATGAAAAAAGGGTAATTATGTCAGAAATATACAAGCTGTTACAGGCTATTACGACTTTGAGTGTTAATCGGCGAAGGCAATGAAACATAAGCGTGAAAATTAAGGGCGAATGGACAAGTAATTGGAAAAAAACGTGGTACTCAAGGGTAGGAAGTGGGAAATAACTGGGGCGGAAGGGTTGTAGTTTTGGGATCTGGGGAAAAAGTATTCAGCAACATATTCTCCCTGATTTAACTTTTTTCCAGAGTTTCGCCTTTTTTCAGGTATCGGCTCAGTATTCCACCTTCATGACTGGCTCGGGATGTCACTACAATGATGAAAGTAAAATGAGATCCAATTCTATCCATGTGTAATCGTCTTATATTAACTGATATGGTTTGACCTCACTTTATAATGTAGTTAAATAAGTGTTTCATTCCTTATTTGAACTATTTCGCCCGTAATTGTGCCTATAGTTCGAGGCCGTTTATGACTTTAATAATTATTATTGTTTAAGGCACTATCGCCTCTTGTTCCTTGATTTTTACACGTCTGTTTTCTTTACACTACAGAATAAACGTAAGGTCTGTTAGTTTTGCGTTATGAGGAGGCGGAAAGTGTGGAGACTATTCCAGTCGTCTTTAGACTCTAAGTTGAGGTTGGTTTCTTGCTTCTAAAATGTTTATTTTATTAGCCTTAGAAGACATTCATGTCAGTCTCGTGATTTTATGAGCGAGCTTAAAAAGTCAGAGCTGATGCACATATGGAGTAATTGTTTTGGGAGCCATCAGAGCTTCTTACAAAATAATGTTACTTGTCCTGTATCAGAGGAAACGGTAAGCCGTCATTAGCAATAAAATACATTGTCTAAAATCCAGACATGTAGAGTGGTTTTTGATAATATCTTGAACTTATTGTTAAGTCCACATAATTCCAGTTTTATAAAATGCACTAGCTGCATTCAAAATGAAAACGAACTTGTGATAGATTATGACATATTTGGAGTGTCGCTTTATGACATAATCAGATATAGTCCTGGACGTCTGCGAAATCGTAGTGCAATGTTATTTGTCATTTTTCAAGTAATTAATTACCTACCTACCTATAGTATTTTAATAGATCATTCATAGCGTTAAGCAGTTACACGAAGTTAATCTACCACACGGTAGCATAACACTCCATAATGTATTTGTTGATGACAATTCCAACGCTCTTCTTGGTTTCCCAAGCACAATTGATGTCCTATCTAATACAAAGTTAGAAGAGTGCCATGAAAGGGGAAGTGATGTGGCAAATACAATGTTGACATGCAGCAATAACAAAGTGCGCGAAATGACTACTGATTGGATGTTACACAAGGTAAGTTCGTGTGCTCTGAATACAAGTGTAAATTATGTGATCTAGCAGTTATATATATAATTTTTATTTTTGTTTACAGCTTGATTCCACACTGTATTTTTGGTACATGTATGGAATTTTCAGCATGGTTATCGGTAGCCCAAATTTTGGAGGCCGACCATAAATATCAGGTGTGCGTCCGGCAGGGGATCGAACCTCGGACCATGTGCATGGTCAGCGAGAGTCCTAACCACTGTGCCACCGACGCATATATATATATATATATTACTGAAATCATCTGTTAATTAGATGCAAACATGGCTAAAATAATTACAAACTAGTCACTAGGCAAAATATAGTCAAGTAATGATAACACGCGGACCAGTAGTCACCCAGTGTATCATTCGCTTAGAGTATAAAGTGGATTTTGACGAGGATTTTCAAATGTAAGACGTTCTTTATAATTTGTTAAAGTTACCTGACATCTTAGTCTAACCATTGCAAAAGTATCCTTAGGTTTACTATTATGGGTTTCCACTTTTTCGAAAACTCTTTGGTTACTGTATGTGTTTTTGTTGCAGCCCGTGAACAATACGTTTGCAGCTCCCGTATTGGCCACTAGGTCTTGAGTTCATTCCTTGTAAACTTCACCACAGCACAGTAGAATGTAGTTTCTTTTCCAACACTAAAGGATCAAATATTTAGAATTTTAATTTGTTGGACAAAGTCAAGCAGAGTTCAATATATTTGGACTCCAATATCTGTTCTAGAAATTATATGGTATATTTTTTAAAATTATAGCTTGATTTCACATTGTATTTTTGGTACAAGTACGGAATTTTCAGCGTGATATTGGTAGTCCGAATTTCGGAGGCTGACGTTGGCCGGGGATCGAACCCCAGACCGTGTGTATGGTCGGCGACAGTCCTAATCGCTGTACCACCGACGCACATGTGGTGCGTGTGCTGTCTCTTGATTAGTATACTCGTACTAGTGACGATATCTCCTGAAGCTTGTATCATATATATATATATATATATCTTTTCTTTCACTATTGAGTACTGTATGTCTAGAGTTAGTTGTGATACGCAAGGTATCAGATTATTTATTGTGCATATTTTTGTTTTGCTTAGAAACTTTCAGAATGTATTTCCTTAATTTTAGGTTTCAAACTATGATTATCTCATGTACCTAAATAAACTGTCTGGTCGGCAGAAAGGTGATCCATCAAACAGTGCTATCTTACCGTGGATAACAAATTTCGAGACACCTAATGGAGGGTTAAGAGATTTAAAAAAATCTAAGTACCGCTTATGTAAAGGAGAGGATCAACTGAATGCAAATTTTAAGGCGTCACTTTATAATCATGTTACATCTAAACGCCCTAGTTGGACGTCAGGATCCTGTATTTCAGAAAAAGATTATGACATTATGAATCATCAACAAGATTTCATGAAACTATGTGATGAGTTATGTAAGTCTGTGCGCAGTTATATCTAAAGTTAATGTTTACCTATTTTAGCTACATGTAATTTGAACACTCCAAGTGGCAATTTACTTCACAGTATTACAGACCAACATATTACTAATGGTAAATTTTATTCACTGAAATAAAGTGTTATTTTAGATGTTGGACAACACAGTGTGAATGTCACGTTTTCTCCACATCATTTACTTGATATCATGCCTGATTTAACCTATTATACATACATGGTAAGCAACTACGTTGAAAGATACATTGATTTCATAGGAAATTGTTCTCTACAGATTGGTTTTACTTTAAAAAATATATTTGTTTCTAAAACTTAATAGGCCAGAAAAACTCCTCTATCACTATTGACCCAATTCGTACGCCCAGTTTATCAACCTCAAGAATTTCCTAATAGTGTTGCTCGATTGTATGAATCCACACCGGATGAATGCATTCCTGAATTTTTTACAGACCCATCAGTTTTTTCTTCCATTCATCCTGATATGTCTGATCTGGGTCTGCCGCCTTGGTGTTCCACAGCAGAAGAGTTTATTGAATATCATAGTAAACTTCTGGAAAGTGATGAAGTATCTAGTAATTTGCATCACTGGATTGATTTAAACTTTGGATATAAAGTAAGTGAGTAATAGGTGTTATCTGTTTTTCGAAAATACCACTTTCGAATCATATCCTTATTATTTTATTTACTTCCCTGATCTTAGTTTGCCAGTAAAATTGATTGATATAATTTATTTGCAAAATACTGGGTGGTTGATTTGTGTAGGTTTGGGATCCTTCAGTAGTTCTCTCTCCGACCAAGCCAAGGATTACTAAGTTACAAGGTGATCGATCCCACTTCTACATTGTTAACTGGCCTAATTTAGAGACAACGGGTTATCGATTTTTGACCGAATGCCTGAAAGATTTAGTGGTGAAGTAATCTGGTCACTTTGGTCCCGATCCAGAAAGTCATTGTAGATTTGAATTGCTGAGGAGTTCAAAACCCTAAATATATTCACAGTTGTACCGTTGCTGATGTTTATGTGACAATATCTAACTTCGGGACATTCATCAATTTGCATCGTTTACGTTTCTGTTAATAACGATTTTTATAATTCTGCACTGATAATGGAACGTAGTAGTAAGAATTCTGAGATTTTGGTGTTTGTGTACGTATGACAGCTCGAACTCTTGCACTTCTAAAGTTTTATGTTGGACCCAGTCATTCAGTATTGCTTGTATCCATTTTCTCCTTCACTTACTCATATTTCAATGTTTTTATTTGTTGTCTTTTTCGATATTGGGAAGCAGTAGCTTACCACACGTGGTCGAAACTTCCGCCTAGCTTATTCTGGGAAACCATGTAACCACTGTGTGTCATTGTATGTGAGTTTGCACACAGTTGCTGGTGTATGTGTGGTTACTATTTACCTTTGTTGATATCTTTGCCGATATCGGAATAGTTCATCGTTGGTAATTATGAATCCTACTGTATGACTTAGAAATGCGAAAGACCTATAAGGTGGTGGAATACAGTTGAAGACTACAATCAACCCTCTAATAGTCAACTTCATAAATAAGGAAATTCATAGGTCAATAGGTTAGTGAACAATTTCTCTGCTGATATTCTTATGTCCTGTTGACGATTACAATGTACACAGTTTGAATCTGCTTTTGGTTTGGACCAATATGTATAAAGGAATTGATTCGTACATCTGACACTGGTGTACGTAAAACACCGTTTAACTTTAATGAGCACCTCTATTTGCAACCGTTAAATGTTTTGTATTTATGAGTAGTTAAGTAAAATGTAGAAATTAAGCCGGTGATAACTGTTGAAAAAGAAAGTAAAAAAAAAAGTAAATTACATGAATATAATTCAGTAAAAGCATGTAGATTTTGGCAACAAACAAAACAAGAACGAATCGCCAACCAACAAATATGCAGGAGAAAGTGGAGATCGATTGGACACTTGCTCGCTGAGGAGGCCGCGCGTCAGGCCATTACTCGATTGGAACCCGAAAGGGAAGTGGTGAGTGGGACGTCAGTGCAAGGGGACATGCAGGAAATCGTGTGAGGAGGAGTTGAAACAGTATGGACTAACATGGATGCAGGTGAAAAGTACAGCAGAAGGAAGACAGAAGCAAGTGGAGACGTGCAGTTAAAGCCCTATGTTCCACTAGGAACCCAAGGGAACGATAATAATAATGTAGATTTTGTTCACTCAGCAACCAACTGTACGTGGTTTTCTAGACATCAGTAAGTAAGTAGATAGATCAAACTTCGAATCTGAAATCCAACCAACAACCAATCACGTTCAAGGTCACCAGAAGAGAAGACTAACAGAAATGTAAAAGCTCAATTCAAATTGAAGTATGCGCTGAAGCTGTTGCCTAGGAGGGCAATGAAAAGCCTCGCAAATAAACCATCCAGCTCAGAAAACACAACTACATCAAAATCTGAAATCCACTTATCGTATAGATAATTGACTATATTTGTAAACCATATGTGTTTTTGAGAATCACCTGGAAACTTAAATAATTAATTAATCGTTGCAGTGTTATATTGTGTTTATTGACTCAAATTAATAATTTCTTTTTAGGTTCAGTTTCGCTTATTCTCTTTGTTTTGTTTTTTAATATTTAAATATTCTACTTATTATTATTTTTTAAGTTACTTGGTTCAGCTGCATTGGATGCTAAAAATGTTCATTTAGAATTGGCAGGTGACCAAATTGCTACACGTTCTTCTGGTGTCATATGCTTATTTCGTACACCACATCCTCAAAGAATTTGCAGTAAATATTTATCAACTTATTTTGGTGCAGTACTTCCCGATAGTGTATTCAAGGAAATGAAGGCTTCAGCATCAGAAAGCTTTTCAATTAATAACAATAATGATATGAAGAGGATTAATTCTTCAGGCAATAAAGTTTATTCGGAGAATGGAAATTTAACTTCAACAGTAAGACAAATGAAAACTGTTGCAAACTTAAAGGTATATGATGAGGCCGTTTTTAAAAGATCAGTATCGCACAATCAGTTTGTCAGATAGTTTTCATGTGTGTAGTTTACTTTATCTTCATTTAATTACCTTAATGATGTGGCTCCGTGACTCATTCGATTAGACAGTCGATTTCCATCTTGTAAGCTACTGGTTTGAACCTCGCTCCACTTTTGGAGCTTTGGACAACCAAACAATGTCTTCAAGATACTACTTTGAAAAGTTTCATTGGCGATTTTGTTTTTTTACAGGTTGGAGTTGCTAGCCTTACATCCAATCTTTCCTCTTTCTCGGGCTTACTACAAGCTAGATGAGGATTCGGAGTTAGTCAGACTCCTGGACCATCCGCGTGGTTGATGAGCACTCTACCATTGAACTACCGGCAGGCGTAAAGTCATTCATCGATATGTCCACTGTCTGACATATGGTTTTCGAATAGCATATCATACTCATAGAATGATGATTATCAATAATCCATTGTTATTATCGTATAAACTATAAAAAAAGAAATATGATTTAAAGAATCTTATTTAGTCTATTAAATTTTTTTTCTACACACTAGTTATATGTGTGTTTGTCTAGCGTATATATATATTTTTTTAGTGTTTACACCATGTACTCTCTGCTTGTTTCATTTTTGCGGAGCTATGGCTCTCTGGTGTGTAGGCACTGGATTTTCAACCAGCCGGTTGCTAGTTCTAACCCCGCTCCACCACCTACCGAAGTATAAGCAGCTAGGTAGCATATTACTAATTAACCCCCATGCAATAGTTGTGGCTCATTGCCAACTGCATAGAATTGCAAGTGGGCTGTTGAAAAACATTCATTCACTCATTTAAATTTGTTTGATATGACTGTTAATCTAATACTGAATCATCATAGTGTAACAACAGAAGACAAGGGCCAGGAAACAGATCCTTTATTAAGGAAAATCAACACATATTTATAGATTTTAATGTACATTAATGTAGATTATTGTTAGTAGAAAACACAGTCTTCTGATTGGTTGTTTCTCACAGAAAGTTAACCATTCATCTCTTTGTGACTGTTTCTTGAATGTCAGATCATCTATATGCCAACTGTATACGCTTACGCAAAATCTGCTGTGGTTGGTTGTTGAATTAGTCTTTGTTCATATTTTTCTCACGACCAATATTGGGGACATAAGCACTGACGTAAAATACTGTCTACCAATCTTGGCTAGTAGCCAGCTCTCGCTACAATAGTACTATATCTTGTAGTAGAATCTCTCCAGGATGCGTGTAAAAAGTTGGAACATTTGTGAATTTAACTATCTCCAAGTGTTAGTCGATTTATGCAGAGATGAGTTTTGAGTTAATAATAATAACGGCTTCAAGTACTGGTTTTTGTAGGGATTTTGTTTGATTAGTTGGAGGATATCATCATGTGCTGACATCAGTTAGACAAGCATTGAAAAACCTGGGAGGTTCTGGGTTCAAAACCTGGGGGGTGCGTACTGATGAAGAGTCCCCAACTAGGACAAAACAACTGTCCAGTACTCCCAGGTCTTCCGATGGTTCTCTAACTGATTTCAGCTCATGATGAAATCTTCCAATCAATAATAGCTTCATTCTAAACAGTACTTTTGGTACATATGTGGAATTTTCAGCATACTGAAGTACAGTATTGCATCTAATTTTCCTATTACATGGCTATTAATTAAAACAAAGCACTTACATTGACAATATTATTCAATAAAAATACGAATATAAAATTAAGCGAAAATATTAACATAAATATAATAGTGGAAGAAAGAATAAAGCGAGCAGTTTGCTTAGCGTTTCTCAGTAAGTTGGTAGTGTCCTGCCGTACACATTTCTCATCACATAAAATGTATCTCAAATAAGGTATTGTAGAGTTTTTATACTTAATCCTCCGAGCATATAGTCCCCTATAGTTTCTCCTAGTTTTACCTGATGAGATTCAAGGAGTTGTGTGAAGAGAAGATCCTCAGTGTCTGACAGGTTATTATGCACTAATTTCTTGCATGAAATTAGCGAATATTAGACTTGGTAGAAGATTCTGCTCGATTTAGTAGATTTTATACCTTGATTGGATACTAGTAACTAGGGTGATGTTGTTTGGTGTAGACTGAATTCTATCAGTCGGGTTTGCAATGTGGTCACCATTCTAGGTAGCTTGCCACTATGGTGCACATTGATTTGATGGTATTAGATGGTTGGAGGCAATCGACAGGAAGCCTTGGAAGAGCTATCTAGAATGGTGGCCACACTGCAAACCTGACTGATAGAATTCAGTCTGCACCAAAGAAAAAACTAGACTCATCCCCCTAGTTACCAGTGTCCAATCAAAATATCCAATACAGTCCTACAGGAGGTCAATCGCGAGCCCGAATTGCTCAGTGATGACTGCAGTCGGCACTGGGTGACGCGGGTTCAAATCTCAGAAGGTACATGAGTTCCTTCAAGGTTGCAGATACGCCTTGCTGACGAGTGAGTACCAATCAGCACGAAACCTAGGTCCAAGGCTTCCTGCAGATTGCCTCCAACCATCTAATATTATCAGATTTTATACCTTTTTATAATCATCAGATAGTGGTGTACACAACCTTAGGTAGACTTATATACTCTTATATCAGTCAGTGCTGCAGTTAAAATTTATTCTGTGTAGCTGTTCATATTTTCAATAAGCGATTAAGATTAAATAACTATATGGTATCCAGGAGGCGTGAAACTAATTTTACTCCCTTTAATGATAATGACTTTATGTATGAAAATAAAATCATGGTTGACTCAATTGCTTGTTTAAGCTCAATTACCCAGAACAGAATTTTCACATACTAGTAGTCTGAGAACCACATATTATCGTGTAGGGGTGAAGCGAAACTCAAACCGATGGCCTACAGGCTGAAAACCGAGTACGTAAGCTAATAAACCAAAACTCCATCATAATTGGTTGAATTAGTGAATGATAATATTGTGTTTGAAACTGTTCAAAGGTTATTAGTTCCTGGTTTTTTTTGTATACATTCATTCAGTTATTCTAAGTGAGAAGTAAGTTGTATATACTCTATTTATCATGAGCCGTTATATAGACAAAAAACCATATTGTAAATTGAATTGGTTGGTGAAAAGTTTAGATATATTATGAAATAAATTGGTTTATAGTTGAAACAGTTACACAGGCAAATAAATGTTTTAGAGTTTTAAAACATCAATAATTACCTGGCCAGTTTTAAAATTCTTAAACTAGATATTCCAAAAATTTAGACGAATCCTCTCCGAGAATTGAAAGAGAGAATGTTGTTTCCAGTTGCGAAAGAAGTTCATTTGTCAAGTATTCCATTTTGTACAAAAATCAATGAACATTTTTTAAAAATCCATACACTTTATTAGGATAAGACAGTAAATCGTCTTTATTCTAAATTGTTTTTTTTATTATTTTTAAAGGTGAATCATACTTCCAAAGTATCTTCAGACAATGGTGTTTCTAGGTAAGTTATTCATTCTTCCATTGGTGATAATAATATTATTCATTCAAGGTGTAATTTGCCACCGGTTAGACTTCATCTATAAAATCATTTCAGTAGTGAAGATGTTAACTACTGAATTTCACTATTCTATTCATAGGTGAACGTCTATGAGATAAAATCCTCCAATTCCCGGTAACAAGTCGTCACCAATAGGTCAGAATAACACACATTTGGGAACAATTAATTTGTTTGTTCCTTAGTCCCTTGAAAGCAAGTGGATAGTTAATCATGTGACCTAGGAGAGCTCTCTTTTCAAATTACGAATTGTGAAGAGTTGGAAATAATTAGTCAATGAAACTATACCTATTCGTTAAATGTCTATGTCTCCACCACCACGGATGAACTTTGCGTAGCAGGCAGTTCACTGGTTCACGAATAAAATCCATTGATAAAAGAAAGGCAGAGTAATAGTTAATCTTTACTAATAAAGAATGAAGTACCGACACATCTTTTGTGACCGACCTCTGTTAAATTGCTCTGATTTCCTTGGGAGCAGGTTTTTGTTCGGTTGCGTTAAAAATAAGTAATATTTGTCTGTTTGTAGCAGTAGTCCGTAGTCGACCATTTTCTGCAGCACATATCGTATTCGTTCTTTTTATTCTTCTGGGGTGGGGGGATATGCAACTATCTTTATATCGTCCAAATAGAGTAGCAACTTCCGAAATGCCAACTAGATTGGTATCTATTAGTTACTGCAATATTACGGTGGGGGGGGGGCAGTTTTGACACCAAAGAGAAACCTGTTGTTAACATCTCGTGGTAGTTTTCTGAAACTTTGAGCTACAAATATGCATCAGGCGAATCAATCTTCTTAGCGAAGACTTTTGCTAATTAAGGTGATAAATCAATCATCTGAAACTGGCAGTTAGTAGTGAGGCCTATTCACAAGAGTTGCATGCAAACCTGTCAAGGTATTAGTACAATAGCTTTTTCAATAGCCACGATAGAAGTTGCTCAAAACGCGAAGACAGGCTACTGGTGTCATAACTCGTGCTTCTTCTAATTGTTTCAACTCAGCGTCTACTATCTGTTGTGAGAGGCATACAGTACAGGTCATTTTAGGCGGCAAACTAGTGTTACATCATATCACCGCTTTCGTGGTGTCTCATTACCAATAATTAGTATTTCAGCCTGTTTTTTTGATTTGCTTGCCATTTTGTTTTAATAGAAATAAAATATGGCTGCCAGATGATTATAATCCATTGGAGATGATCAATCTTTATCAAAATTTATGCAAATTCTTATCAGCTGAAACGTATATTCAAGATTTGAACGATGTAGAGTGTGTAAGTCAATCTTTGTATTTTTTTTTAGAAAATATTGTTACATCGTTTTTTTGCTGTTGAGTAAAATCAAGCACGAACAGATGCACTGAAAAAAAAATGATATCATTTCTGTAGTACTTAAATGACTTAGGATTGTCTAAGGTATACAAATATACTAATAAAATTACAGGATTTCATCATGAGCTGACATTGCTTAGAGAACCACTGGACAACTGTTTCGTCCCAGTTTGGGACTCTTCATCATTACGCACCCACCGGGGTTCGAACCCCAAGACCTTCTGGTTACAAGGCCATAAAATTGCTGGCCATTTCCTCATCCCCCCTATGCATTCCGTATGGAACATAGGACTGACTCTCCAAGCTTTGAAGTCTCAGTAGCGATAGTGTTATTTTCTTTTTAACAGGTTGGGGTTGCTAGCCTTACGCCCAATCTCTCCTCTTTCGCAGGCTTACTACCGGCTGGGCAGGGTATTGGAGCTCACCGGACTTCTGGTGTGGTTGATGAGAGATGGTGATGGCGATTTATGGGTCAGCGATAAATTTCAATAGCAGTTAATTATTACACCAGTAATATGAATAATATTGATAATAAAAACGTTAATAATAACTATCATAACTACAGTAACAATAACAACAAAAGTACAAGTAGTTGAATCGGATGGAGATAAGAATCATGAAAATAGTAGGATAATGTAAGTATTTCAACATTTAAACTAGGCCAAATTGTTAATAGAAAAGACGAATTGGATAGATAATCAAATTTTAAATAAATATAATAAATTTTTGGTGAGGGTGAAAATTTTTAATTTATAAAACACAAAATAATTGAGCAAAGAATATCCTTTTTGATAAATTTCCTCTTCTGGCTCTACAATTATATATATGTTCATAATATACATAGAATATTCTAGATTAGTAGCCAATAACAATATTGGTGTTTTTTAAATAATATCAATTTGTAAAGTAAGATCAATGCAATTACAGTTCATCAAACGTGCCTAAATTATAATAATAATAATAACAAAGATATAGTGGGAAATAGAATATCAACTAAAATGAGGAAAAATGCATAAAAATTCAGGATCATTCAAACCTGGATGGCCAAGGTAAGGATAATGTCTGAACTAACATATTTTGGATGCACAAATTAGGCTTGTTAATATGGATCCCGACAGCCAGCCTCAGCACTATTTAGTAGTCGAACTCTTAAGGCAAAATTAAGATTCGTAGGCATGCAGTAAATGACCCTGAAAGCATGGTTAACGTCAATCTTGTATTCTATTAACTTTTTCTTGACCAAAAAGGAAATAGAGTAGGGTTATTCTTCTGAATTTCCATAGCTTCAACTCTATTTGAATGAATTCCGTTCAACAAGTTCAAAGGAATGTAATCAATAACCAGAAAAGCACTTTTCCTGTCCATTGAGTGATCCTTAGTGACCAATTAATAGGGAAAAATCGATCTTTTTATTGATCTTACTTGACTTTTTCTCCAACCGCCGATTAAGATGCTCACTCATCAATACCTCTGTTAAATTGTCCACTTGTTCTCTGTATATGACTTTCTCCACATGAGCAGGTAAACTTTTAAATGTCCAGTAGAAGTGACACATCTAGGTAATTTATTTAATTATATATTTTTCGCTTGAAGAATAACAACCGGTCGATTGAAAATAAAGAACAAAACAATAAACAGCATTATTAGCTCTTTTTGTGGTTCTGTATAATTTTTAGTATAGAAATTCAATAACCATATCGTAAAATAAATTGAAATTTCTGGAAAAATTATTTGTTGCATATCTTTTGTCATATGTATCTTGATAAATCTGTTAGAGTAAACCATTTTTTATCACCATATTAAGGGTGTAACCTCATTTCTTTCTCATTGTACTTGTAAGGCATTCAAATACGATGATTTTGTAGCGGATGGGTACTACTTCCGTATTAGTTTGTTTATTAGATGTATCACACAGTGAAACAGTTTTATTTACTGGATGACGTCTCGAACAAAATTTATTGTTCATAATCATATCGATTATAATCACACGACTTCGAAACTTGAGTTGGGTACTACGCTAAAGAAATGAGTATACTCACCCATAGATGTATTCTTTGTATTGTACATCTGTCCTGAATGAATTTACTCATTTACTCCACTGATTGATAGAACGTGTTGGAACTACTTTCATTTTCATGTATTGGTTTGTAGGGATTTGGTTGATTGGTTACAGGATTTCATCATGAGCTGACATTGGTTAGATAACCATTGGAAAACCTGGGAGTACTGGACAGCCGTTTCGTCCTAGTTTAGGACCATTTAACAGTACGCACCTACCGGGGTTCTAAACCAGGACCTTCTGGTTCCAAGGTGAGCTGTTCTTCTTCACAGGCGAAACTAACTGATGGATGTAAATGATTAAATTTATTCACTACTTCACCCTTACCAGTTTTCTCTGATCACAAATAAGAATTGTATCATCAAGATAAGAAATATCCGATTTCTAAATTACATCATCTGGCAAACAGTTTTTCAACTTACCAAGGAAAAAAACTTACTGAAATTGGGCAGTAGTCTCAGCGTTCCCATCGATTTATTTATTTATTTTTCTTCACTCCTTGAGTTCTGTGTTAAACATGGCACTTCAAGCTTTGAAATTTCACTAGCGGCGATATTGTTTTCACACGCTCAATCTTTCCTGTCCTCTGGCCTAGCTGTCGGCTCGGCAAACTAGGCGAGGTTTCAGAGTTGGCCGTTTGGGAATCGAATCCAAACCTCCCATGTTTACCCTCTAGCATTTTACCATTGAACCAACGTCTTTATTTGTTGGTGTGTACTTTTTCACATATGCTTATAAATTCTGTTTGTCTATCTCTACAGATTAAATTGTCAAAGTTTGATAAACGTGATAATGATTTCAACAATCTGTTCAAAATTGATTTGGAGTCATTAGCTTGTCTCATTGTCGAATTAAGTCTATATTCTCTAGTCAATTATACTGAAGCCAATTCATGGAATCATGAGGAGAGGGTGAATTTTGCTCGTCAGCAATCACGCTTACACTGGGACAAAATACCGAAGTAATTTACTGTTTTTATTATTCTTACATTACATACTATTTGTTCTATTGTTGTGCTAACTGCTTTTTGTATTGTAAAAAAGTAGAACTTGGACAGTGTGGCAAATTATCTTTGCATTTTAGATAGGTTTAGTCAGTGAAACACTATTAACTAGATGACTTCTCAAGTAGAATTTCTTGCTGATTAGTGTAATGTGTTGTGTCAAATAAGCTTATTTAATGCACAGCTAAGTCGTCGAATCTAAATATTCATTTTTCAACCAGCGGATCGTGGGTTTAAAGTCTACTCTACCCACTAAGCTTTTCATAGCCAATTAATATCGTCAGTCTCTATATGCTAGGTATGATGATTTGTTATCTGTGCACGAACCTCAAGTTCCTTGCAGTATTGTTCGAGTGTTTCTCCGGTTTCTTATATTCATCTTTAGTTGTGAAAGTCAGCTTACACAAATAGACTGATAAAAGTCTGGTGGCTTTTAATCCCGTTCTCGTTGTTTAATACGCCTCAGAAATGTGGTTGTATAATTAATGCATGATAGACAGAAACACAAACCGTAATAACTGTAGCATTGCATAGTAGCCCAATTTGACACACCTATCCACGCATTAAATACAAAGTTTATTACTATTTACTAAAATATAAACTTGGTACAATATTATTATTACTGTTCCCTTGGGTTCCTAGTGGAACATAGGGCTTCAACTGCACGTCTCCACTTGCTTCTGTCTTCCTTCTGCTGTACTTTTCACCTGCATCCATGTTAGTCCATACTGCTTCAACTCCTCCTCGCACGATCTCCTCCATGTCACCCTTGCACTGACGTCCCACTCGCCGCTTCCCTTTCGGCCTGGTTCCACTCGAGCGATGGCCTGACGTGCGAGCGATGTCATCCAGCGGCCTACTCAGCGAGCGAGTGTCCAATCGATCTCCACTTTCTCCTGGTTCTTGTTTTGTTTATGTGTTCCCATAGTTTCTTGTTGGCGATTCTTTCCGGCCCGGCCGGCCATCTGATCTTCAGTATAGAGCCAGCGAAGACAGTTGTTGGTTGATAAAGGTCTGCAACAAGCTGTTGGAAATATTCCTTGTTACCCGTCCGCCAAGTTTCTTATCCGTTCCGTATAGAAGAACTGACTGACGATGTTTGTATTGAAAATCCTACCGAATTTCGTTGTTGATACTGAGTGACGAAGATTTCCAGATTGGTAGCTCGCTAGTTTTCTAGCCGGCCCCAAGTCTGTCTTTCTGTTTTCGACATAGAACTTTTCACAAATGTGCGGCACTTCAAGTCGCCACACTCCATGTAGCACACGAAGCAAGAGAAGAAAGCGCAAGAAAAGCATAATAGAGACAGTCCAGTCCCAAGCCTGGATAAAGAGGGAGGTTTGAGGCGTGGTGCTAGCAACTCCACCCCCGAAACTTAACCGAATTGCTACAGAAACTTCCACGCATAAATATATTATAAATACTGGTACAATATAAGCAACAAGAAATGCGCCACACACACAAACCAGACAATATAGAGAAAATAAGAATAGAGTAAATGAAGGATAATATCCAGAAAGCAAGTATGCACATACTAGTCAAAGGATGGAACATAACTTCACCTTAGAAGGAGTAAGATGCAGTATATCTGCCACTGATTACGATTCTTAGCCGCATCTAATAACGTCACAAGCTAACAATTCGAATTACTTCACCGATCCTATCCTGGAGGTTGTGATGGACTAACAGATGCTAACCTAACACGACTGTCCTTCTTCCGATAGAGCCATGTCATAGGGCTGATTCCTCCTCTTTTTCCACTCAGACCCAGGGCTACCGATCATCAAATGGTATAAGAGCCACTAGGATACCATTCACCTGAAATGTCCAGGCCATCAAAGTTGGTTTCTCAAGGTGAAATCACTTATTGAAAGACAATCTCCACCATGTATCAACACACGCAGTTGGACCTCAGAATTACTTACATACTGACACCCAATGTGAGCAGTCCTACGGAGTCTGCGGTGATTAGACCCATAAAGTCGTCACACTCCCTCAACCAGGATAGGCGAGGTTTCATAGGCGTATGGTGAGACTACGCACGCCGAGGCATCGTAAGCCCACCCTTCGATAGCTCCAGGTTAATGTCATGACGGCGCTAAAAGATGGCCTAGGTTATCCTATGTAGACCTGGTTTCCTCTATATGAGACAAGAGAAAGCTCAACATATAAATAGGAATTAAATTAATTGAATATTGTGGAGTGCTATAAGATAAAACAGAAAATATATAGAGTAAGCAGGAAAGTAAAATATTGCAGTGAAGATGATATCTGCTTGAATGTGCAATTCATTCATCACACTCAGGTTAATAAACAACGTTCTGTACTACCATTTTGTGATGTTTAATGATGCCCTATCAAACTATTGGCTTAATCAACTGTAGTTTTAACCTTTTTTCCCCTTCACGTTCCCCAGTGGAACATAGGGCCTCAAGCTAGTGGCTTGAAGTTTCTGTAGCAGTGTTTGATTTTACAGGATTGGGTTGCTAGCCTCATGCTCAACCTTTCCTCTTTATCAGGATTATTTCTGGCTTAGCGAGGTAAAGGAGTGCGTCCAGTGGCTGGGGATCGAACCCTGGACCATGTGCATGGTCGGCGAGCGTCCTAACCGCTATACCACCGACGCACAGTTTTTACCTTTCGTCTACACCGTTTAAGTCGAGTTCCTGAATCGATGAATCATTGTACTACAATTGATTCAATAGGTTAATTGGTTGGTTGGTCGACTTTCTCTTGTGTATGGTTTCATTGTTCTCTTTTTATAAATCTCTCATGTGCATTAAATTTTGAATAGTTATATCAATTCTTTCCTCCCTTTCATCACAGTTGTCTACACGATGCTGTTAATGCTATTTTGCGTCCATTTGATTATCAAAATCTTGTTGGTGAAAAATTTCATAAACGTTTCTTACCTACAGTAGATATTTTCCTCCATATACTTTGTGAATTTCCATCATATTTTTTTGATTTACACTATATTCGAGAGAAGGTAAGTATCACCTTTTCTGCATACTTCAAAAAGTGTGTTTTCAGATATAAATCATGTCACTTATCACGGAAACTGCACTTAATTAATCTTATGCAATAGTTAAACAAACATGTTTGTCTCCGTGCATTTAGCACTGGTTAGTTGGGCTTCATTTCAGTTAAGATCCATCGGTTCAAAAGTCAGGCACGTGTATATTTGATTATTGAAGTACCATAGTTATATCACTGTACTACCGGGACTATCCGTAATTCCTGTAGTTTTTTTTATAAGACTCAATAGAACTGTTTATTGTTACTTGGGTTTCTTTTGGAAACACCAACAGATTAGAAATCAGGGATATCGGTGTGTTTACTGTAAAGTATAACGAAACACATGTCCACTCAGTGCTTAGTCATTTATTTTGATGAAGAATTCGAGGGTGACGATAAACTTGTATGAATGTTCAGGTGGATGCTTTCTGTATACTGGCATCGTCAACAAGAGTTCTATTGTAACACGCCTGTCTTCTGTGTAATACTAATTTTTGGTTGTTGTTAATTGATGTGTGTTGATACAGCTTAGGTTAGATTGGCTTATTCAATTTAAGCAACTAATACATTTGCACAGTTCATATTTCCCATAATTTGGGGCCAGTCATTATTACGTATTGTCCAGTGTTACTATTTATTTCCCTTGTAGTATCGCTTCTTGAATCTAGCAGATAAAAATTTGTAATAAAACTGTGACAAAACAAAGGGCTTTTTGAACAATCTGGGAAAAAAAATCTGAGCATTGTTCAGCATTTGCTTTCACCTGTCAAATGTAAGATGGTGCTGCATAACAGGCCTTCATCCACTCCCAATTTAAAAATAGGGAGTGGTACTAATGAATGTGTTAACGACTTCTCGTCTGTGGGTAGTTGTATCACCCTCAGTGTGGACTGGTTGATAACAAAATCTCAGCATGGATACATATAGCTTGTCTACCACTTGCCAAGTTACAATATCTTTGACTTAGGTGTGATATGTGGCTGTCTATCAATGGGTGTTCTCAGTGTGCAACAATATACTCCATCTTATAAGAATAAAGCCCGACCACTGTGGTAAAGTATAATTCCATTATGGAGAAAACCTTTTTTTTCAATGACTCAAATGCATTCACTCTTTGTAATCTCCTGGATTCATGTGATTCTTTCTCTTCTCCATAATGGAAGTATACTCTCTCCTACTTTGTGTCTTTAAGACATGACCAATGACAGAAGCAAAATAGACGTTTGCAATCACTGTTATCTCCATCCAATTGCTAGTGTTATATGAAGCGAAAATTCAGGTAGTGTTATTTCAGGAGTGAAAGTTGTCTTCATCGGTAAGGAATTTTAGTGGAAGTAAGATTAGGCTAGAAAAGGATTAGCGGTAGTCTGAACCACATAGAAAGCTACAGGTTTCCTGGTTGAAGTGCTCCGAAAGCCAGGTATCAATGGATGGAAATTCTTAGTGGGGATGATGCATTCCTTTTCATCTTTCAGATTGTGAAAGTGTTCACTATTCTCCATCACTGTCACCTTTGGCTATTGTAGTATTTACGAAAAATACCCATTTATTCATAAGTAAAAACACAGTTTTTGTTCAGCAAAGAAATTTCTTTTCAACGATTTCATTTTCAAGCTGTACAGTCGTATTTATATTACAGAAAAAGTTATTAAGTGGCACTAAATAATTGCTCAGTCAATATACATATATAAGTGATAAGAATAGCGATAATTAAAATCTTGTAAGGGGTTGAGTTGAAGTGGATGGATTACAAAATTATTAAAGATTGTTTTATAAGTGAATTGATACCAAAAATATATAAAACAAATTGTCAAGCGTTGTCTAAAAATTTTAAAAAATTAGGAGTGCGGTTACGATAAGAATAAACATATGAAGTGGAATGAATTCAAGTCTGTCTGGATTCAACATAGAACTTGGCACCGAAGTGCAGCAGTTCGAGTTGCCACGTTCCAAATAGCACACAGAGGTAGACAAGAAGATGAGTGAAGAGAATCAATAGAGTTTGACAAGTATAAGAGTGAAACAGAATGGGTAATGGTAGAAAGGAATATGAAAGATTACAGAGACTGAATACATCTGCGCCATTGACAACGATTTTGAGCCATGTCACCTATTGTCTCCAGCCATTGATTCCTAGAGTCCCGAGGGCCCCAACCCGGGAGTCTGCATCTCCCTACCTGACTCAGTTTAACTGTCAAGGATTTCATGGATTGATGCCATGTTTTTGTTTGGCCACCACTGGCTCTTTTCCAACCTGAACCTATATCAGCTAGCAATGCCCGTCGGGGGAGGCGGTGGTTAGGCATGCGCAGCACGTGACCTAGCCATCTTAGTCTATGTAACTTTATAGCCTCGTCGATTGATTTTCCCTCTTTGCCCAACACTCTACGCCTAACGTCAACATTACTTATCTTGTGAAACCACCTAACGTGAGACAGAGATCGCAGACATCTATGATCGAAAGCAGTCAACCTTTTCATGTCTTCAACGCGTATTGGCCATGTTTCAGAGCCATAGAGAAGGACGGAGCGAACTGATGAGCAGTACACACGTCCCTTGGTTGATAACCGGATGTCACGCCTACGCCAGAGATGGTGTAAGTCAGCGAAAGCAGCTCGAGCTTTTCGGATCCGTGCTGAGATTTCATCGCCAATCAGTCCGTTGGTGCTAATACAACTTCCCAAGTAGGTGAAGTGGTCAACATGTTCTATCACTTCACTCCCTATCACTAAGTTAGGGGTTGACGTGGTCCAGTCCTGTAGCAGCATCTTACATTTTGCAGGGGCGAATCGCATGCCAAACATACGAAGATTGCTGCTCAAGGTGTTCAGAAGACTCTGCATTTTGTCAGCATCCTCCCCTAACAGGACTATGTCATCTGCATATTCTAAGTCCATAAGATTATTCCCTGGTAACAAGTCGATTCCTAAGTCACTACGTTCAGTTAAGGATACTTCCATTAGCATATCTATGATGAAGTTAAACAGAAATGGGGAAAGTGGACATCCCTGTCGGACACCACTGGTTGTTACCAATTCAGATGACAATTCCCCATAAGCCCTTACACGACTACGTGAGTTTGAATAGAGTGCCTTGATTAGTGCAATGTACTTTCTTGGCACTCCCTTCACAGTCAGACATTGCCATAGTACCTTTCGATCCACGGAGTCGAAGGCCGCCTTCAAGTCAAGAAATATGACAATTGTTGGACGCCGAAAAGTGTGTCTATGTTCTAGAATCTGTCGAAGAGTGAAGATATGATCTATGCACCCTCTACCTGGTCTAAAGCCTGCTTGATTTTCCCTTGTCTGTTCCTCCCGAGTTCTGCTTAGTCTATGCATGATTACTGAGCCTAGGATTTTAGAGACTATGTTCGTTAGGCTGATCCCCCTATGATTATCACACGAGGACTTGTTTCCCTTCTTGAATATCGGTATAATAAGTGACTTACCCCAGTCTGATGGTACTGTCTCTGATTCCCAGACTTTGCCTAGTACCTCAGTTAATCTACAAACTAGTATGTCACCCCCATATTTAAACACCTCCGGAATAATTCCGTCGGGTCCTGCCGCTTTGCCTCGTTTCAAATTACTGATAGCTTTTGTAACCTCACCTACAGACGGCGGACCAGTGTCTATATCCCATTCGGGTACGTGGTGGATGGCGGGGAGGTTCAGTGTGGCTGTAGGCAAGTTAAATTGTTCCTCAAAGTGTTCTTTCCAGCGTTCAAGGCGTCTATCCTGAGAGCTAATTAAGGAGCCATTTTTCTCAGAAATAGTCTCACTTATGAATTGCCTTCTCCCACCCGATTCTGTGATGAGTCTAAAGAGTTGCCTAGTGTTGCCTATCGCCAATGCTTTTTCCATCTCTTTCGCCTTTGTCACCCACCACTGTTCACGGTCCTTGCGGAGACTTTTAGTAAGTTTCCTTTTGTGCAGCTTTCGCTCCTCATTGAATTCGGAGCTCGCCGGAATAAGTCTTCTAGCATCTATCAGTTCGGATGAGGCAGTCGAAATCCAGTGGTTTTTACTCACCTTTGGATTTGCCTTATTCACAGCTTTTACAGCTGTATCTATAGCTGACTGAATATTCTTCCAGGCTTCTCCAGGGTGAGCACAGCTGTCGAATTCAGATATGCGTTTAGCTAGTTCTTCCTCAAATAGGGATTTAGTTTCCTGATCGAGCTGGGGACGTGATGGTTTTACCGCCAGCTGTTTCCTACGTCCGTTCAGTCGTAAGCACACACGAGCCCGGACCAGTGCGTGATCGGTATCTACACACGTGTTCCAGAAGGAGCGACAATCTCCTACCGACCCACGCCAACGATAGCTTATTGCTATGTGGTCTATTTGTGTCCAGCGTTGGTTTGATGATGGGGGTCGCCAGGTTAAACAGTGTCTCTCCTTGTGTTTAAAGTTAGTGCTTACAAGAAACAAATGATTATCTGAACAGAACTGTAGGAGACGGTCACCGTTGTCGGTTCGCTGGCACGGAACTCCATAGGTGCCACCGACATCCTTCTCAGATTGACACAATTTCCCTACTTGAGCGTTAAAGTCACCAGCTAGAACGACTATATCTGAGCGTTTAGCCTTTCTCACCAAACTAGACAGCTTTTGGTAGAACTCATCCTTCGTTTCATCCGAACTGCAGTCAGTGGGGGCGTAGGCGGAGATTACGAAAAGGCATCGGCGAGTAGTGCAGTCCTTTCTCCTTCTTACTGATCCGTTCAGACGGACAGCACACATTCGGCTATCTACCGGGATCCAGTCAAGCAATGTCTTTTCTGCCCTAGTACTCAGAGCTATCCCTACGCCAGCTAATCCTCGTGAACTAGCTGTGGCATCTCCTGACACCCTCAAGGTGAATTTTGAAGATTCATCCTGTTGGCCAGGTGGGGTTAGGTGAATAACCACACTTGGGTCTTGTATGCGTGTTTCTGAAACACAACATACATCAATGGCTCGAGATGCCAGGGTCTTAGCTAGTGATGCTTGTTGTCCTATTTGGCAAAGTGTCCTAACATTAAATGCTCCTATATGAAATTGGTGGCGTGGCTTTAGGAGACTATCCGTGGTGGTTTTTTGGCTTTCGTCGTTTTTAGTGGACACAGAGTGAAGAGGGAGTGAGGAGCCATCAAGTAGAGGAGTTGCATCAGTGGAGGAAGGCAAGGTAATAGAGATGAAGATGAAGACAAAGATAAGTGAGGATTAGAGAGGTTTTGTGTGCATTTCGGATTGTGAGGGCGATTGTTACTTCCCGGCTGCCCACACCGTGGAAGTTGGTTGCGTGACCGCAGAGCCCAGGGGACAACTGCTTGAGGCCGGTCACACGCGGCCTGTTTTTGTTTGTTCTTTTTGTTTGGTGTGCCTCAGTAGCATACTTATCACTCCCGCCCTGTGACACGGCAGCAGGAAGCGCGGTCGTTGTTAATCCGGGCCACGGCCGATCCGGCATGAAATTTTGTGAATTTGTTTGGATCATGGTATTGGATGAGGTAGCTGCTTTTTGTTTAACCGCTATCCAAACAACCTGCCTGGCATGGTAGAACCTCAAGAGACATAAGTCTCAGCCAGTATAGCTTGATTAGGTCATTGCGGTGTTCAAGCCCGACCACCACGTCAAGGTAGCAGCTTTCGGTCGGGAATGAATTCAAGTGGTAAAATAAAAACTAGAAAGAACATTACTATGACCAAGGTAAAGAAAGGGGTTTGACAAAACGTTTTCGAACACATAATTTAGGTTTCTGTTCATGTATAGCTAAAGCTTCGGCTATGCATAAGTGAAGAAAACGTAAACTTTTGGATCGATTGGATTTTGCCATGTATATAACTTTGAAGGATGAATCACGTGGGGCTAAATGACCAGACTCTAACAGGGGATCACAAATAGACGACTTCGCAGTTCTACGTTTGCCTTTCATTAACCAAACCGGGTAGTGTTCAGCTATACGTCATTATTATTATTCAGTTTTTGGATGTCTAAAAACTTGATTTGATGCACTTTTGTACAAAGTTCTGCTGTCGTCTGTTAGTCATAAATCTGTAATTTGAATATATATTTATTTTTTATCGTAAGAGCAACTGATAATAGAATTTCACGGTTGGTTTGTATCCACGCGTGTTGTCGTGGTTGAGCAGTCTTAAAAATACTTCTCTGTCTTTATCATGTTGAATTCATTAATTTCAGTAGTGTGTTTCGTGCGAAGTTTATATGTTCATAATATTTTTAAAAATCCTCTTAATATTTACTGTATCTTTTTATTGCCTTAAATTTTATTTTAACCTTTTAGCTAATCTGTATTGCTGATCCGAGTCATTCATTCCAATCAGAATCAACTATTACATATATTCCAAAAACTGATCTGTACTCAGCCTTCTTTCCAACTGATAATCACCTATGTCTAGTCAATCGTACATCTAATCTGTCTAGAGTTCATATTCCAGTTGATATCATTAAATTGCTATATCCACACATACAAACAGCTGTATATTCCAATCCTATATGGTTTTTAAATATTTTAAATTCCTCCAAAATTGTAGAACTCTTTTCTTCAATTGGTGGTAAAGAGGTGTGTTTTCTTTAATAAATGTAAAATACATATTTTTTTTTGTCATATACTATTTTGATGGTAGTTAGTTGTAGAACTTAGGATTAAAAGTTCATCCTGTCCCCATAAGTTATCCATATCCCCGTGTCTGTAGGTGTAAATGTTTCCACTGTAATTAGGGCGTTGTTTACTAGACTAAGATGCTCCCGACGATTATATATCTCATCCAACAGTTATACGTCAACGCTGCATGCCAAGTAATCCATAGTGGAAAACTTACGGAATCTTTCGAAGTAAAGACGGGAGTGAGACAAGACTGTCTACTATCGCCAGTGATCTTCCTGATTGCAGTGGATTGGATAATGCGACAGACAATTAGCGGGAACTGAGGAAACAGGCATAAAATGGACCCACACAAGAAACTTGGAGGATCTGGACTTCGCCGATGACATATGTCTGATTTCCCACAAACTGGAAGAAATGGAAGTGAAAAGCAACAAGTTGGAAGAAGAAGCATCTAGAGGAGATAGGACTTCAGGTGAACATAGATAAAACAGATGTGATGAAGATTCCTGGCCAACAGCAACAACAACAACAGACAACAATCAGCCAGTATAAATGGGAGGAACCTGAAAGAAACAACCTCCTTCACCTACCTACCAAACTGGGAAGCATCGTTTCAACTACAGGCGGACGGAACTGACGAGGATATCAAAGCAGCGAGGATAGGGAAAGCAAGACAAGCTTTCATTACTCTCAAATCTGTGTGGAGGTCAACAGCACTCAGCATCAAAAATAAGATCCGGATTTTCAACTCCAATGTGAAGTCAGTCAGTGCTACTATACAGATGGATCAGAGACTTGGCGAGTCATAAAGAGCATCACCAAGAAACTTCAGACCTTCATTAACAGTTGTCTTCGCTCAATACTCAAGATCAGATGGCCAGCCAGAGAAGACCAGCAACAGGGTGGATCTCTGGGAGCGAACGAACCAGGAACCGACTGTGCAGCAATTCTACAGGAAGAAATGGAGGTGGATCGGTCATACTCTGAGGAAACCATCAAGTGACATCACTAGACAAGCCATCGCTCGAGTGGAACCCGAAAGGGAAGCGGTGAGTCGGTCGTCCAAGGTTGACTTGGAGGAGGTCATGTGGAGAGGAGATGAAGGGATGTGGGCAGACTTGGAGCGGGGTGAAAAAGTTGGCAGAAAACCGAAGGTAACGGAGACGCTCGGCTGAAGCCCTATGTTCCTCTAGGAATTAAAGGAAATAATATTCTTTTAGTGGCAATTTTGTGGAGACTTGTCCGTAGATCTCTATTCAGAAACTGCCTACACACTTGCGTACAAGGAACTATGTAAACAAACTTAGACACATTATTTACACCTGCTTTAAGCTTTATTTTTTTAAAGAATGAGGCATAAGCTGTTTATACCATCTTTAAGTTATTTTAATTAAATTTGCCCACTTCAATGGAAAGGATATTACTTTATGGAAAATTCAATCTATCAAGAAGTAAACACACTGGAGACAAGATGCGTCAGTTCTCGAATAGCAGTGTGCTCTCTAACCTCGCATGTGATTCAGCATACTACTAAACCTTGCCTTGTTTACTGGGCGATAATGGCCCCCGTAAAGAGTAATGGATGGGCACGAGACTAGCGAACACCGCTACTGAAACTTTAAAAGTTTGAAGCTCTGCGTCTCACTCTAAACACAGAGGAATGAAATGAAGATAAAAGAGCAATGTGAATCAAGGTTGCACATTTCGTCCTATTCTGGACTTGTCATCTGGTTGTACCTGTATTTCCTAGTGAGTGATGATGTTCCCACCGAGCCTCGAACCCAGTGCCCATAGTTTCAAACGCCAAAGCGTTATCCACTTGGGCGACGAAAGCCACCTCTTGTGCAACTGGTCATATTAATTATTTAATTGAATTTTAGATTTTCCCCTCGATCTATTGGACTGAAGTGCTAGCCACCATCCACCAGTTAAATCCTAGCAACATGCCCAGGCATCGTTGAAGCATCTGCACAAGAAGCCGACATGTCAACCTGAGACCGAGCACTTCGGTCCAATCAATCGACGTGAAAATCTAAAATTCAATTAAATCATCATTTTAAAATTTTCAAATGGTGTCATTTGTCACATAATGAAACGAAGTATCTTTTTCAGATTAATGTACTGCTGATATATGCATTTTAGTGAGGATAAAATTAAATTTCACAAGGCTTTCTTCCTAGACGAGCAGTGTGTTAACGTGACATAAGGATTGGGTTGGGAAAGAATTATTGGTCGTCAAACTGACACCTCACATCAATCTATCAAATCTCTGAAAGGTGATTTGAGCTACGTGTAGACTGCCTTATTGGGAGGAGGGGGGGAGTACTCCGGATGCTCAGAAGTAATGACTGCTGACTATTGGTAATATGGCTCAAAACCTTTCTCAATTGGATACATTTACTGTTTGTAATCGCACTTTTCTCCATGCTAGCATTATTTCTTTCTCCCCGCTTACATATCCGCACATCATAGTTCTTTTGAAGTTCTTCTCTGTTTTCCATCTTTTTATGCTGCATGGAAAGTCGCAACTTGAACTGCTGCACTTCTGCGTTTATTCTATGTTGAGACTGAGTTAGTCTGCTTCTTCCTGTCAAATATCAAAATATACTTGAATCTAAGTATCAACTATTAATTCGTTAAGTACTGGTTTTGCAGGGAATTTGTTTGGTTGGTTGGAGGATTTTATGATGAGCTGATATCGTTTAGAGAGCCAATGGATAACCTGGGATTACTGGAGGTCGGTTTCATCCTAGTTTCGGACTCTTCAGCAATACACATCCACCAAGGTTCCCAAATTAGGACCAAACAGCTGTCCAGTACTCCCAGATTTTCCAATGCTTCTCTGACTATTAGTTCGTTAGAAGTTCAGCATTCTCAATGGCTTGTAACACTCTCAAGAAATGTCCTTATATCAGTCTCATGGTTATAGTTTATGATGTAGTCGTAATTCTAGTCTAATCAATATTTTGTTTATTATTTTTTTTACTGCAGTTCGTACAATCGCATCTTCTCTCACTAATTGTATATTTGTATAAACCAGAACAACTGAAACGTATGTCAAGTGATGTGTCTATCAGTATCCCCCTAGCCTTGTTATATTCCCGTCGATTTCTACGTCGTTTATTAGCCTATACAAATGTGAACACATTCATGGTTCATATTTTACCCTATATAACTTTAGGCCTTATAGGTGGTAGTAAAAATGCTTTATCTGATGAAAGTACTGTATGGCATCAAAGAAGTTATACTGGTGGTTTAACAAATGAAACAGACTATACTAATTCAAGCATATCAAATAACAAGTCGAATGATGAATTTAATGAACATTTAAATTATAATGAAGAAAAAGCGCTATCATCATTCGAGCAGCCTAGAAGTTATGCATTATTATCATTATCATCATCATCATCATCTAAAAAGCAAACTATGTTAAATGTTGATGAGATTGGAATTGATCTTCGAAATTTACTTACTGATGAAGAATTTCAATTTGCAGAAGATACTAAAGGCTTAACTGAGTTTACTTGTCAAAGTTTTAATGATGAAGAGTGTGGTGATGATATTACAAGTCATAAATCATTAACTAGTGGTTCAAATGATGAAGGAGTAACGCGTCGATATTCACCAAGGTAAGATAAGCTAAAACTATTTATCTTCTCGTCATCACTTTCTAAAAAAATAGTAATGTTGTTTTTGTCCTTTTTTTAAAAAAAAAATTAATTTAATTGTTATAATAAAGGTTTTTTTAGTATTTCGCAATGAATGACGTTTCCCCATTTAATGTTATTAGCTTTGTCAAAGCTATTGTTGTTAATTTCCTCTGGTAAAAATAGAGCGATACACTTATTTGATATAAATATCATCTAAATATCAACAGCTGCCTTACGTCAGCTAACATTGCCTGTCGAGGAAAGCGGTGGCTATGCTATGCTATGCGTAACACATATCCCAACCACCTCATTCGATGTAACTTCACAGCCTCATCGATTGATTTCCCCTCCTTACCTAGCACTCGACAGACGCCTAACCATCTCAATATTACTCGTCTTATTATACAACCTAACACGGGAGACGGAACGCAAACACCTATAATCATAGGTAGCTACCCTTTTTATATCTTCCACTCTCAGTGGCCAGGTCTCACATCCATATAGAAAGATGGAGCGGACTGCTGAGCGGTACACACGCCCTTTGGTCGAGAACCAGTTGGATATCACGTCCACACCAGAGACGACGTAAACTGGCATATGCCAAATGAGCCTTCTGTTTCTGTGCTGAGATTTCGTCAGCCATCAACTGACTGGCAAAGGATGATGCAACTTCACAAATAAGTGAAGTGGTCGACATAATCCACCAACCAATTCACTCCTTATTTCTAAGCTAGGAGTGAGTCGATGTAGTCCAGTCAGTCGTGTAGCATCATCGTACATTTGACGGTAGTGAATCACATGCGAAACATTCAAAGACTGCTGCTGAAAGTGCTCAGAAGACTCTGAATTTTGTCAGCGTCTTCACCTAGGAGGAAGCAGTATATCATCTGCATATTCTAAGTCAAACCCTGATTCGCTGAAGTCAGTTAGAGTTAATTCCATTAGTACATCTATGATGAAATTGAATTGAAATGGGGACAGTGGACATCCCTGACGGACACCAATGGTTGCCATCACTTCAAATGATAACTCTGTTGGCCCTCACTTGGCTAGTTGCATGAGTTCAAGTAGAGTGCCTTGATCAGTGTGATGTATTTTCTCGACATTCCGTTCACAGCCAAACACCACTATAGTAACTCTGTTGACGGAGTCGAACTCCTCCTTTAGGTCAAGAAATATAACGATTGTTGGACGAAGCTTTAAGAGGCTGTCGAGGGTGTTTCTATGGCTCTCATTGTTGTATGCGGTCACAGAGGGAAGTATAGTGACTCACTAGCCTGAAGAATAGTACCGACTCTAATAGGAAAGTAAGGTGATGGGGATGATATGGATAAAGGAGAATGATGATCAGGAGGGCTTTGTGTGCTCTTAGAAGTGTGTGGGCGGTTGCTACTTTCCGGATGCCCACACCGTGGAAGTTGATTGATTCCTCGGGTACCTGAAACAGTAAGTGATTTAGTGTTGCGCGACCGCAGAGCCCAGGGAACAACTGCTTGAGGCCGGTCACACACGGCCTGTATGAACTGGTTTATGGGCTGGTTCCGTACCAGTAAACTCACCGCCGGTTACGGATCAGCGTAGGGTAAGTCAAGGTCGACCTTTTCTAATCCCCTCTCTCCAGAGTGGAGAGACAACATAGCTGGCCGGCATGCTGGTCATCTGAGGGAAACACTCTACTGCTGTTACATCCCTGTTCGCCGGCAGTACGACTTCGCCCACAGACTCCCAGCATAGTGTAAAAAAATTCCCGCTAATCCAGTAACTGCTTTTAGTTCAATCGCTATCCTAACAACCTTCTTGGCATGTTAGCACCTGCAGGAACAATAGTTCCAGCCTTGTTAGGTCATTGCGATGTGCAACCCCGACCACCACGTCAAGGTAGCAGCTGTTGGTCGGGATATATCTCCTGTGTTTGTCCGTTGCGGTGTTTAGTGAATTATTTCGTTTTAATTTAATATCTAAACTGAAATATGATGTGATTGGTTGGCAGTCATTAAAGTATATCTGCTATTAAGTAGCAAAGCCTCCCAGTGGAATAATATCAAATACAAAATGAGATAGGCAGAAAGAAAAATGATGATATGATAGTTGCTTCAGGGATAAATGAAAATAAGAATATTAGAACCAGGTGTGTTAGATATCTGCTAACTATAGACTTCAATATGCAGGTCAAGTCGGGTATCTTTATAGAACAAAAAAGTAGTTTAATCGACCAGCAAAGACTTTTTAGCATGGTTACCATCAGAAATCGCCTGTTAAAAATTTTTGTAATTCATAACCTATTTTTAATCAACACTAATTTCTCGCGCAATCGTCCATGCAATGTTATGGCATATTAACGATCAGATTTATCATGCTGTTTCTCCATACTCTTGTTGAGATGGTCAATAACTGTGTTTGAACAGCTACCTTTATCTACAGAAGTTATGGTATCTGGTTGCTATACTTTGTGAGCGATTTTGGAGTATGATAACAGACATTCAGTTACAATGAAATCAGAATAACTAAAAACTGTTGAGTTTGATTGGGCACTAGTAAGTAGTGTGATGTGTCGAGTCTTTTCTTTGATGCAGACTGAATTCTGTCAGTCAGGTTTACAATATGGCCACGATTCTAGATAGCTCACCATCACGGTGCACATTGATTTGATGATATTAGATGATTGGAGGAAATCTACAGGAAGCCTCGGACACTTAGGTTTCGTGATTGTTGACACTCACTCATCAGTAAGGCGTATCTGCAACATTGAAGGAACTCATGCCCCTTCTGAGGAGATTCGATCCCGCGTAATCCAGTGCTGCAGCACGAAACCTAGGTCGAAGACTTCTTGTCGCTTTCCTCCAACCACCTAATGTCATCAAATCTGTTTGTGTACAGATCACGAGATTCATACGTTTATTTTTTCTCCGTTGTTTTGCACGAGTTTTGGTTTCTATTGATTGAACGTTTTCATTTCTCTTTTGTCTGTCTGCCTATCGCATAGTTCCACATCACAAACATCGAAATTATCATCTCAAGTAATACCTGATAATTCAACAGAGGAAAAACATGCCAACGATATACAGAAAAAAGTTATACCACCGGATGTTACATCTATTTGCACTAATACTACTACGAGTAGTAGCAACAGTAATAGTAGTAGTAGTAGTAGTAGTAGTAGTAACTGTGCCGCCAGTATCAGTTGTATCCCACCAATCACTGCTGCTATGGACAGTCTTAATTGGCTTGCAAAACGTGTTGGTCCTGTAATGACCAATAAATATATTGTCAAGTATTTGTTAGGTACGCTTACATTATGCTATGAAGTGAGTCAAATACCCCACTTTTTGTGTATTATTATTGCCTTTGAAATGCCATTTTATATACTATTTGTTGACCTAATAACTTGTTGGCTTTTTATTTACTTTATTCAAGTTACTCCCCGTTGATCTCTGGTATAATCAATGTGTGTTCACTAGTTGAGTATTATATATATGGTTCATCTTATTCAGTTCAGTTTCATTCACCTTTATATCAGATATCCTGTATTGTGTACGTCTAGTTAATAATTGATTATGCAGATATCTTAATGGAGTTATTGGTGGTAGTAATTGGTTCAGTCTCATGAAGTTCACTCATGCTTGCTTTGTTTCATGCGCACACATACTATCTTCTTTTTGTCTAGTGTCTACACTGAACTGCTTCGTCTACCATAAAGTTTAAGTTTTCTTACACGAATAAACATGAAGACTTTCGTTGTATTATGTTATGGTGTTTGTTTATTTGTGTGTGTGAATGTGTGTATTTGTTTTGTTTTTAAGATTTCAAATCAAGCTATGAATTAGAATTAAAGTATGAATAAATAGGATAATTTCACTTGATAAAAAACATACATTACTATGTGTCGACATACACTCTTTAATATAGCTCAGGAAGGAATCAAGATCTCGTTGAAACTTACAAACCTACTGAGGGAAAAACTCTGCAGCACCCTAAAGGAGCCTGTTGATTCGATTAGATAAAATAACTTTATCTGTAAAGTACTTTTCAATGACTATGAGTTCGGTCCAGTAGATCGAATTCATTCAGGTTATGGCAATATAGTTGTTGTGATACGTTTAGGATTTTTTTTTATCATAGTGGGGCAAGCATAGCCACGGCTTCTTCTTTTTTGAATCCATAGGCTTAGTTTTAACCACTTCAATGATGTGCAATACACTGAAGCCAACTTTTACTTTGATTATTTTAATTGATTACGAAACATCAATGTTGTGGTTATTATTCTTCACTACTGAATACGTTTGCACCTTTCAATTGCAAGGTTTTTGAGATGTACTCAGATAGACCCTAAAACTATGACTAACATAAAAGAACACTCAGCTATTGCAATACACGTAGTAGCACAAAATCATACAGTAGGGGGAAGACATGGCTACAGTTCTAAGAGTGGTTGAAAAGATTGATCACTGAATCTTTGTTCTTCGGATCTACGTCAAACATGTGCAGTAAAAAAGATACAACACCAATACCGGAAATATGCAAAATATTATTAGTAATGAAATCGAAGAATAAGAAATAATAGAAAACTATATCAACAAAATAACTTTGCTGGTTGATGAGTAGAAATGGTAAATACAGGACGCACATTTCGTCCTATTTGGGACTCGTCATCTGGATGTACCTTGGGAATCTAGGTATGCTCAGATAGCGAGTCCCAAATAGGACGAAATGCGCGTCCTATATTCCACTTCTAGTCGTCAACTACCGAAATCACCTCAATGTTAAATTATCAGACATTGTCGAAGTGTCTGTATATGCAGCTGACATATCAACAGAGGTGGTGGAACACTTCGGTCCAATCAGTCAACGGGAAAATCCAAATTGAATTGAATATATCATCAGAGCCTTAAAGTTATATAAATATCTTAATTTGAATATTAGTGCTAAAGTTTGCTCTAAAGATTATCATGCAATAAATAATACATGAAAAATTCCCATTCGAACATTAATACTCTCATCGGCGAATTCATTTTCATAGCTGTACAATCGCAAATATATATGGTTGTTTTGTATGTGTGTATACATTAAATTTGTCAAACGAAAATACAGTTAGTTAGGAAGTTCAGATGAACTGGATGTTGATATTAGAGGTTAGTGAGAAAAGTGATGAGTTTTCATAAATGATTGTTAAATAAGAGTTACGTGATGGCGTGAATAGTTTGATGAAAGAGTTGTGCTCAGGGTGTACATGGAAACAAAATAATATACAGAATTACACAAGGGTTTTAAGTAGTTATAAAAGTAAGCATACAAACAAAAGTTAAGTCAAATCAACGGAGTTGTTACAATGAGAGTAGAAGTGATTGAGTAATTCTCTTTTGTATGCACAGTTCTGGTTCCTCCAACTGAATGGCTAGGGCTTCTGTGATGAAAAGAAAACGGAATCGTACTGTCTTTGGAAGGTTGTTCTTCACTTTGTAGATTACTTTGAAGGAGGCGTTTGTTGAGATGGAATGATCAGTGGTGACGAGATGTTCGATTATTGCACTCCTTATACGGCCATTACTTCCTTTCTGCACCCACGCTGGATAGTGTTCTTTGACCCTTTTTGACAGGATGCGCGTTGAACGACCGATGTACCTGGCTCCACAGCAACAGGTGAACAGATATATACACATAGAAGTGGTCAGGTGTGGGATCTTGTCCTTTGGGCTTGTGTAGATCAGCGGGCGACTGGAGAACACTACTTTCAATGTTTCCGCAAGGAAAGTTCCTCTTAAAGGGGTGGAAATTCTCCTTCTGAGGACGTCACTGAGTAGGTCTCCTTTGAAGTTGGGGTTCATATAAAGTATCTTTTTCAGCACGGATGGTGTCTCTTGCTTTTGGATTTTTTGTTTGATGTTTTTCTCTGCGAATTTTGATGGGTAACCGTTTTGTATGAAGATTTCTTTCAGGAAGTTTATTTCTTCTTCCATGGTATCAGAGCTGCAGATGCGTCTGATCCGAGTCGCAAGAGATCTAATTAGGTTTCTTTTCGACTGATTAGTATCCAGCTGTAGAAGCTTGTCATTTGGCCGTCCCATGTGGGTTTCCTATGGATGGACCTTCTTAAAGTTCCGTCAGCTCTCCTTGTAAGTTCAACATCAAGAAAAGGGATTTTAGATTCGTTTTCAGTGTCTAGCTGGCTGGATGGCATTTGTTGAATATTTGCAGTAATTGATTGATACAGATAATAAAGATGTTGTCCACATATCTAACATACAATTGGAAATTGTCAATAGTTGATTTGAGTGGGCCGTTCTCGAGTCTTGTCATGAAGCAGTCTGCTAGTGTGTTGTGTCACTTTACATTAATATCAAATAAAATAATTCCACTGTGGAATTTTGCGTTACTACGGGGCTTGAATTCTATACAATAACAACTTTCAAACTTTATGCGAATCAGCAGAAATATTGTGTCAAATTTTTTTTTTCAGTCAGTTCACTTATTCTTATGATGTTTTTTTTAAATAATATTAACAACTTTATTCTGCACAAAAAGTTTTGCAAATAAGACAAAATTTTTAATGTTAATACTGACTCTACATCCAAGATCTTCAAATAAAATAATAGTCTAAAGTACGTTGTTTAACGCAGTGCTGTTCGATCGGAAGAATAAACGATTCTTTTATGGTATTTTTTGTCTTCTCTCGCCGAGAAGTGCGCAAGAGTGATGCTGAAAGTCAATCAAAAATGTACGTGAGTATATTTGGTGACCCACGGACATAACTCAATAGTTAAGACAAAGGGAAGTAGAGAAAATATTTTATACATTCTGTTGGAATGGAGATTGTAATCCAGTGATTCAGTCAGGCTGCGGTTGAGTAATATCAATAAAAGATTAATAGAGTTATATCGAAATGTAGATAATAATAATAATAGTAATAATGATTTGCTTTACTCCTAAACAGCACTTATGATACAGCGTGGAATTCTGAGCATTTGGTACATCATTGCATCTAATTTACTATTTAGTTATATGAACATATAATCTTTTATGATAACCAATAGTCTTACCTGATGCTATGGAAGGAGAGAATGTGAATAAAAAGCTTGCTGACAGTCAGACGATGTGGATTTAGCCCACATGAAACTCCTCTTCAGCTGAACAACAGGTTTAATTGTTCAAACACCTATTTTAGTAATACTGTTTCGACAGAAGACAAGGGCCAGGCAACAGATCGTTTATTAAGGAATCAACACATATTTATAGATTTTCATGTACATTATTATAGATTTTTTAAACAAACAAACAGTCTTCTGATTGGTTGTTTCTCACAGAAAGTTTATCTTTCATCTCTTTGTGGCTGTTTCTTGAATGTCAGATTATCTATCTGCAAATTTTTATCCGCCTAAGCAAAGTCTGCTGTGGTTGGTTGTTAAACCGATCATTGTTCATATTTTCTCACTACCAATATTGAAGACGTAAACATTGACGTAAATTATTGTCTACCAATTTAGCTGGCAGCCAGCTCTCACGATAATATAAGTAATGAAGTTGGGGAATGTAGTATTTTGTAAACCTATGTTTGTTCGTTTATCGTTGAAACAGTACAGTGTTCTGTGTATTGGTCAGTTAACTGCATACATGGGACTAACAGTCGCATAATCAAGACGTCTACTGAACAATACATTATAGATTGACAATAGTACAGTGTGCTATTTGATCTCACATCTAGCAAGGATAATAATTTGAAAGTCCATATTCACTAAACAAGCGATTCGCTTAGTAGAATCACTAACTGTATGTAATAAAATTTTAAGCACCACGACTCTCTAAAGAAACTCGGTGTTTTGATAAGATACAACCTCGCCTAGTTAACCAGCTCGCTATTTTTCTAACCGGTTCCAATTCCAGGTAAGGAGAGAGGGTTGGCCGCGTGGCTAGCAACTCCACACCACTAAATCTTTCAAACCGATAGAGAAACTTCAACACACAGAAAATATATTAAAAATACAAAAACTTCAAATAAAAATCTTATTCTTGGCTCGAATCGGAAAGGCGACATGACACGGGCTGGTGAAAGCCTTCTTGAAAGCAGTTAGCCTAGCCGATGTGTCTTCTCTCGATGAAAGCAAGAGTAAGAATGGGTACGTGGAATGTCCGTACAATGCACGAACCTGGACAGGCTGCCCAGGTAACCAAAGAGATGCCAGGATATGCCTTAAAAGTACTGGGTATCTGCGAAAGCAGAACAAAGTTGAGATGTGTTGCTGAAGCGCTATGTTTCACTTGAAACGCAAGGGAATAGTAATAAATAATAATAAAAATAATAATGATACTAATA